CCAGCAGTAGATACACGTAGAGAGTAGTATATAGAATTCGGGAGAAGCACTGAGGTGTCAAATGATCGTGAGAATTACCCAATCAGAGTAAGCCACCGGTCCGATCTATTGGATTCGCGGTGCGATTTGTTTGACCTCAACACTCCCTCTCGATCAAACAGTGAGGTATGTAACATGAATGAAGAGTATGCTTACCATCCGCAGAGTAGTTTTCGAATGGCGCGGAACTTGTCCAAGGTAAGTCCCTTCGTGAGAATATCGGCCTTCTGAGCTTCTGATTCAATATATTCAACCGATATGTTGTTTGTGGAATCCGAAACGTGAGATCGGAACCAGTGATACTTGACAGCATAGTGTTTGGATCTTGCGGTGTATTGTCCAGGCTTGAGGCGAGCAAGTTTTAGACATCCCATATTGTCTTCCCACACAGTTGTCTTTAGAGAGGTGGCTGTTTCGTTGGATAGCCGGAGTCCTTGAGCTACCGTCCTGAAAACTCTTCGTAGAGGTAAGATATCACGCATTGCCATAGACAGCGCATTGTATTCCGCTTCCATCGTGACAGTAGCAATGTCTGTTTGTAGTCTTGACACCCAAACCACAGGGCATCCACAGACTGAGATGACGTATCCAGTTCTTGACTTGACGCATGTAGGATCCATAACGTCTTCCACTGAATAAAGACCGGCAAAATCCGCATCGACATGACATTCAATGTCAAATGAATCGGTCGGTCGCAAGATTAGGCCTTCATTTACTGATGATTTCAAATATTGCCCAATTCTGATGAGCGCTTTTTCGTGCGAGTGCTTAGTCCTGTGGATGAATCGCGCACATTGAGACAGGGCGAATTGTATGTCCGGACGAGAATGTCCGCAGAGATACAAGGCCATTCCGATCACGCTTGCATATGAGAAACTGCCATTTGCAGGATCTCCATTCTTGTCTTTTCCAAGGGGCTCTTTCAACGGAGGAGTGTGCTTCTGAGGTTCGTGGTCAATATTGAGGGCTTCAATGATCCGTTCGGTTAGTCCTTTTTGCTTAAGTTTGATCGTCTTGTTGGATTCGTCGCGTTTGATATGGACTCCAAGAAATCCAGCAACAGAATCTTCGATTTCTACTGCAACACCTTGACTGTTCAAACTCTCAATTGCTTCGTTTATATACTCTTCTTTAGGACTGAAGAACAACGTGTTGTCGACGTAAACAAGGCAGATAACTTTATCTGAAATAAAGAGACATGGATCAACTTCTTCTTGAGATTCGAATCCTGCATTTTCCAGCTTCCCTTTGATGAAATTGAAGAAATTAACGGGCGATTGCTTGAGCCCATAGAGGCTTTTATTGAGTTTCAATACCTTTCCTTCTTTGGCAAAGCCTCTGGGCATTTCACAGAAGACTTCCTTGTCTCCTATGGGTGCACGAGTGAAGGCAGCGGTGTAATCAACTTGCTTAGTTTCGAGTCCCAGTACAAGGGATAGGATTAAGAGGAGGCGAACTGTCTGCCAAGAGACGACAGGTGAGAATATTTCATTAGAATCGCAACCGATCCCATCTTTCTGTCAATCACCTCTCACACAGAACCGTCCTTTCAATTTTCGAACTTTCCCATCTGGATATCTTTTACATTTGAATGCCCATGTTGAGGGAAGGACATTCTTTGATTGAAGTCGGGGAACCACTTCCCATACCTCCATTTACTGTAGGGTCTCGATCTCCTTGATTGCTGCTTCCATATAGCCATCGGCTAGAGGACCGTTCATAGCTTCTTCCCAACCTGGATTATCTTCGGAATTGGCTTTGGCGGCCAGGATCATTGGATGGAGCCATTCACAGGTCTCTGAATCCTGGTCAAAGTCGGTGGTTAGTGTCCACATCTTGGCGCATTCGTTGGAGCAAAGTGTCTCAACAAACTCATTGAACTTTAGAGAAGCAAGAAAACCCTGATTGATGGTGGTGTGTCTCACATTTTGATTTAGAGCAAGTAGGCCATACTTCCTTGGCCTGAATCGGCGTCTTCCAGTTTGCGAAGGCGCTTGTTCTTGTAGATTTCATAGAGTTCGATTTAGAGTTTCATCTTCTTCTTGTTCTTCATCTTCTGTACCTTGATTAGGAATAGGAACATCTGTAGGAACGTTTGGTTCTTCTTCCTGTTGCAAATTCTCATCTTCATCTACTCCCTCTGGAACTGACAAGTCATCATCAACGTCGTCATTGTCACCAGCTTTGATTGCTTCTGAGGGGTCATCGGCGACTTCATTTCGATTATCTTGAACATTCGGAGCTTCCTGAGGCTGGTTGTGAACCGGTTGCACATGAGGTATTGGCGGTTGGTTGACAGGTAGCAGAGGAATTGGAGGTTGCACTGGCACTGGAGGCGCATGACCACCGTTATTACCCCCTGGAAGCGGAGCTTGGTGGCGATGCTGGATGGCTTGTTGGTGGAGGCGGGCACGACAACGATTGTTGATGAGGGTCCGACGTTGGAGTCGAACGGCACGTTCAGTTGGAGTTAGCCATTCATCTTGTAGTGGCGGGGCAATAGGGCGCCCTTGAGCGTCACGGTCAAGAGTATCACGAAAGTTCTCGTACCCGGATTCAACCAAATTGAACCAATGATTGGCATCAAGTTGGTGAGGATTGGCCGCACCCCCTGCATCTGAGTTGGGGACAGTACTGAAGTGGTCGTCACACACAAAACGATATTGTGGTGAGACATGTTTGGTTCGAAGGTTCAGGATTCGCGCGACCGAGGAGGAGTGGTCAGGCAAATAGCCAAGATACATTCCACGTCTTGACCGAGGATTCCACTTAGGAAGCTTCTTTCCATCTTGAAGTTTTGGATCAAGGACATAGGTAGGACATCCAAAGACGTGAAGGCGATGTAGAGAATTGTAGTTGGGGAACCTTGATTGGCTGAAGATTTCCAGTGGTGCTAACCGAGTGTCATGACGTGGAAGGTTGTTCCAGATGTATGCTGCATGTTCCATAGCAAAGGGCCATAAGTGGACGTCCGCTTCGTCAGGCCAGTGAATGACCTGGTGGAGAAGCATGGTCCGAGCCCACTTAGTAACCGTTTGAATTGCACGTTCGGCGACTGCATTCTGATGATGAGCCCCAACACCGCTGAAATCAATTGTCTGCTTCTTCAAGGCAAGATCATGTTGCCAAGTTGCAGAGTTGAAGGGCGTGTGGTCTGCTCGATAACTCTTGATATCCGGTACGTTGTTGGCTTTTGCCCATCGCTCAAACTTGTGCTTTGCCATCAGAGTTTTGCCTGCACGAAGAGAAACTTGATTGAAGATGAAGATTGCACCAGAAGCGTGGTCACAAAAGATAGTACCCCCTGAGTACTGATTCTTCTTCTTTTCTTTTCCTTTGGTATGCGGTAATCTACCAGGTACATAGGAAACGTAGCTATCGATGGAAACTTTGGCACCCGGTGTCAGATCTCCCTCTCGAATAGCCATTTCCCGATCATCGAAGGCATGTTGTGATTCAGGAGTTCGTCGCACTTGCTTGCCAAGTTCACAAGCGGCACAGAGGATGGTCCGTTGTGATTTACTTGCTCCTTTATGGCGACATGGTAAGATTGCTTCGTGATTCGGATCGTTAGGTTGTGCTAGGAGATGCTGAATCCATTTGAAGTGAGCATGCCCAAGCTTGGCATGATAAAGCAGCATCTCTTTCTCACCAGCGGTAAGATTTTGATTGTTTTCAGCTCCGACTGACAGCATTCCTAACACCTCTTGTTCTTCACAGAGCATGTTGGCTTCTTCAAAGCCTAGTCCAGCGTAGTGGGCACTCGCGTCCAACATCATTGGAATATTGTTTGATTGGAATGGAAACTCAAGTTCCGATTCGTCGGCGAGCGTGAGGACAACTTTGCGGTGGTTCAAGAAAAGGGAACCAGCTCCCTTTGTCTCTTGGAAGTAGCACTGTGGTAAGAACAATCGAATCTGTGCAGATGGAACCAGGTAAGCCGTAGTTCTGATCCGTCGCACGGATCCATAGACGTCTCTAACAGTCCATTCAACTGTTCTACTTCCCACAACCTCACACGATCCTTGGAGGCCATTGATAGATTTGAGTGGGCTAGGGCGGACTTTAGAGATGAAATCTGACTCATGAGGTGTAATTGAGACAGATGCTCCGGTATCGATGACCATCGGAATATTAGAGTTGTCGGAGAGGTAGACCGACTGATGGTGGAGAGTGTCAGGCAACCGCGGAATATGACAATCAATCTGAGAGATAGCGGCGTTGACAGCTCGAGACAAGGTTGCAGCATTCGACTTAGCTGCCTTGAGAGTCGTTTTGACTTCTTTTTCTTCGGACTTGGTGTGCAGCAACCATAGAGGATTTGACAGGGCTGCTATTTGATGGTATTGCTTGAGAGGATCGACACTTCGAACAAACTGGTCAAGGTCAACTCCATACTGGGCGTCGATCTGGATGAAGCTCAAGTGAAGGAAATGATGCTTGTTCCTTGTGTAGTCTTCGAGGATCTCTTCATCTGAAGGTGAGTTCCAATGATGGGGAACACTTGTTGCTTGCTTTTTGGCTTGCTTATGTTGCCTTTTTCTTTTCTTTTCCTTTGTTCTTGCCGTCTTCCGATAGAACTGTACTCTTTGAGGCTTGACTTGACGACGTAAGGCTTTGAGGATGAGGTGATAATGAGGTGGATTGCGCTTTGGAGACTTGGACTTGCAACAGCGCCAAGGAAAGGCACATCCGAGAAGTTCTAGTGCATTGAAAGGAGGAGTTGGCACTAGCGAAGGCAGATATGGCTGTCTGCGTGAACACTTAGTTTGATGACGAAGTCGCTTCGCGACTGGAGGAGAGGATGGAGGAACTATTGAGGGCATTGCTGCATTTAAGATGAGGACGAAACTGGCGAGGACGAGCAGTTTCAAGAGGTATAAAAAGTCAACTAGACTTAAAGAGGAGACCTCATCCATACCCCCTTGCAGCAAGGGCCACCACATGGTGACGGAAGGGTAGGACGGGATGACGGTAGAGAGGAAGACTACAATCATCCGTAGGAGTCAAGTGGCACGGTTCACTTGATCAATGAGTTGGTTCATGCCTGTGGCAATGGTAGAGACCTGCTGACGAATCTGAGGAAGGTTGGTAGCAGAAGTTGCAGCGGTCAAAGCAGAGGCATCGCCAGAGGGGACTTGGTTGACGGGCGGAGCAGGAGCAACAGGAGCCGCAGCCGCTGGAGGAGCGGGAGCTGGAGCTGCAGGTGCTGGAGCTGGAGTTGGAGCACCAGATAGGAGTGCATGGGGGCGATTAGTCGCCTTGGACTGATCATCACAGAGCTTCCAGGATTTAGATTTAACATGATAGTAGTACCATTTCTTGTTGACTTTCGCTCGATTTTTCTTCCGATTAGATGGCACGGGAAAATGTAAAATACGTCGTGTAGCGATAGACTTACTAGGAGGATGATAAAGGTAAAGGAAAGTTGATAGACGTTCGTAAAAGGAAATCTAGAAAGTTGTGATGATGTGTGTGGTCCATCACCGATTCTGTACGTTACCGCGTACAGACTATGCGTGCGTATCTAATAGCACGGTGACCTTTATTTGGTCCCCTCAAGCTAAGGATCAAGGTGATCCATAGGTTGCTCAATAAACCCAAGAACCAAAAAGGTTTTCTCTCCTCATTTGTGTTAATCGCTTTGTAAATGCATCTGCAATATTGATTGCACCATCAATCCATGAAACTGCAATCACCCGAGCTGCCACATTCCAACGTGCATAATGATAAGCAATTGAATTGTGCTTTTTGTTCAACGTAGATTCTACCAGTGACGAGTTTTTAACAACCGCTTCATTGTCCACTAACACCTGTGTTGGTTCCTCATCCAGTGGGATCCCAAACATACGCAACTTGTAGCGTAAATGCGTAATTGCTTCAATACATGATTTCAGAGCAATGAATTCAGCCCCAAAAGTGCTGGCCTCCACTGTATTCTGCCTCCGGCTGTGCCAAATAATAGGCGCCCTATTCAAGAAGATGACATAGCCGGTATGCGATCTACGAGTCTTCTTGTTTGCTGCATGCGAGGCATCAACGTATGCCAAGCTTCCCACTCGCCTACCTCTTGGTTTTGGCATGTTCGATGGCAATTGTTCCTCAGCATCTCTGTATAGAGTACGGAACTCTTTGTACGATGACTTGACTCCAGAAAAATCTGCGTTTGGGATTCTCCAATCAAAGTATAGGGTCATCTTTGGGTGTTGATCCAAGTATGCAAAAATCCGCAACAATTGTTCCATGTGTCCTTCCCTTGGTCCTGCCTGGTATTGACTCAAAAGAGAAACTTCCAGTAGAATATCAACGCGTCCGATCTCCGTGGCCCACCTTAAGACCCCAATCAATTCTTGAAAGTATGTGTGGTCATGTGCGTTTAACTCACTTG